CTGCAGGCTCATGCAGCTCTGCGTCTGTTGCTGTCAGCTGTTCAAAGCAACCTACCGCTGCTGCAGCAGCTGCAGCAGCAGCCCGCCTCTCTTCTGGGGCAGCTGCAACAGCTGCAGCAGCAGCAACAGCAGCCGCTGCTGCAGCAAGCAGCCACGCGCCTGCTGCCACAGCTGCTTCATGCGCTACGCATCCAAGCCCCGGGGGCTCAAGTAAGTAACTTGTAAACCCTTAACCCTAAACCCTTGAATCTTGTGAAGACTAGCGTTATTGGCGTCGGTTTAGGGTTTAGGGATTGCAGCCTTACTAGGGTTTAGGGTTTGCTTGTGCTGCTGCTGCAGGGAGCTGCAGCAGCTTGCGTCTCGGGGCTGTTGTCTCTGCTGCTGTGCGCTCTATCCCCTCCCTGCATAGCCTTTGGAGCTTCCTACCTCAGCAGCAGCAGCAGCAGCAGCAGCAGCAGCAGCCCTACGCAGCCAGGCGCAGCAGACGCAGCAGCAGCAGCAGTTGCAATAGCTGCAGCGTCCGCGGACTTTGCTGCAGCAGCTCAGGCCCCATTAGCTTCGCTGCTGCTGTCGCCGCTGTGTGCCGTTTCGCTAGCGCGGCTGCTGCGGTACGAGCAGCAGCAGCAGCAGGAGCAGCAGCAACAACTGAAGCTGCAGCAGCAGCAGATTGAAGAACGGCAGCAGCAGGACTTGCTGCGGGGTCTTGCTGCGCTGCTGCTGCAGCAGTCAATAGAGGCCTTGAGGCAGCAGGAAGCAGCTGCTTCTGTCGACGCATGTCCCCTTGACACGTGCAACAGCAGCAGCAGCAGCAACAGCAGCAGCAACAACAGCAACAGCGCTGCAGAAGCGTTGCTGGCCACCGTCGGCGTCGAAGGCCTTTGTGAACGGCTTTCAAACGTCCTGCAGGCTACAGTAAACCCTAAACCCTAAACCCTAAACCCTGAGCCCCTTCAGCCCCTAAGGACAGCAGCCGGCTCCGCTGCTGTAAGCAACACCGCAGCAGCAGCAGCAGCAGCAGCAGCAGCAGGAGCAGCAGCAGTGCGGGGCTTGTTTGGCTGCAGGCTGGCTGCTGCAGTGCAGCTCTTGTCTGTGTTTTGGTAGCTTCCTTTACTTATTGCGAGGGGCCCCAGGGAGCCCCCGGGGGGCCCCCCAGGGGGCCCCGCAGTGACTCTCTGGGGGGCCCCCCGGGGGCCCCCGGAGGCCCCCCCGGG